ATTTAATTTTGATTTTTGCTGTTTTTGTTGCATCAGGAGTCAAAAGGTAACCCAACAAATTTTAGATGAAGACTAAAATAGGTTTTCTATGTTTCATACACAACCTGAAAAACATAGGATTGCAAATATGCCTTTGTGTGCATGCCTCTCCCCCCCACAAATGGATTGTATGTACATACATACAAACATTCTCCCATGTCAGTTTTTTTTATAGATTTCATAACAATGTAAAACCATATATTCTAAAAGTTTCTTATTCATATTATTATCATCATAATACAAATCATTACTACTTTATTACTAGGCTAACTTAGAAAAGATTCAAACATTCATCCTAATACCCTTTTTTAAATTTCCTTGCTTTTTTTCTAGGATTCTGCAGAATTAAAAATAATACTTATTATTTTTAGCTTGCATGTTTTTATGCCGATTTTAGCAGTTGTGGCCAGGTTCCATAGACATTTGCCTAAAGCCTTGGGTAGTATTAAAATATTTTTATTTTTTTACAGATGTTAATTAGCTTCTGGGATACATATACATCAGCGATGAGTGAGTTGAGTTACATTTTCCATTGTTTTGATGCTGGGTGAAATCTCTTTCAATTGACCAGCATCTGTGTAATGGCCAAGTACTCTCTTGAATTGCTCCTTAACCATTCTCTGTGCTTTCAGGAAATCTTAGATTTCTCCTCAACATGGAAGAAATTAAATCTTGTATTTCCACTAGAATTAGGAAGCTGAGGGTAAAGAAGAACAGGAAATGGAAGCAGAGAATATTAAGAATGCAAAGTCCTGGCAGGTCTGGCTAAGTTGGTTGGAGCTTTGTCTTATATACCAAAGGGCTCTGGGTTTGGTTCCTGGTCAGGGCACATGCCCGAGTTGCAGGTTCGGTCCCCAGTTGGATGACCAATCAATGTTCACATTGGTGTTTCTCTCCACCCCCTTCCCTCTCTCTAAAATGGGTGTGCATGTCCTTGGTTGAGGATTAAAAAAAAAAGAATTAGAAAAGGAAAAAAAAAAAAAGAACACAGAGAAAACTAAGTCATCTGATTCTATCAAAATGCTGATTACACTGGGAATTATTTAACTAGGTCTCCAAATTGAGAATAAAGTGTTTTTTGTTTCTTACTTTTAGAAAAACAAGAGACAACCACGATAAAAATTGTAGAATTTGGGTTTAAGAGAAAAAGGCAGGATCTACTACCCTTTGCGACAGCATGGAGGGGCCTGGAGATGATTTTGCTACATGAAATAAGCCAGTCAGAGAAAGATAAATATCATATGACCTCACTCATATGTGGAATCTAATGAACACAATAAACTGATGAATAAAATGGAACCAGAGGCTTGGAAACATGGAACAGACTGACCAATCACAAAGAGGAGGAGGGGGAGGGAAGAAATTAACCAAAGACCTTATATGTATATATGCATTGACCAGGAACACAGACAATAGTTTGGTGCAGGCCTGAGGTGGGGCAGGTGTAGGGTGGAGGGGGTCAATAGGGGAAAAGGAGGACATCTGTAATACTTTTGACAATAAAGATAAAAAAAGAAATTATAAGGGCATTGATTGATTCCTCCCCCCCCCCCCAAAAAAAGAAAAAAAGGCAAAGAAGGTAAGGGGTGGGCAGAAGGGGTGGGAAGAAAGGGGAGGAGAGGGAAGGAAAGGCTTTGTGCCCCCTCCCAAGAAAAACACTCTAAACAACCAATCAAACAAAAAAATGCCACCTGCTGCCATAGAATGAGGGATATGGGGCACTGCAGAAGTCTCTATCAGAAAAAACTATAGTGAGGCAGAAGAGCAAGGACGTTTAGTAGAGTCTAAAGCAAATAGAGTCAGCCCTCCACTTACCAGAAAACCAAATAAATTATGCCATTCTGTTATCGGCGAGATGATGAGACCTCAGTCCATGGCTTCTTGAAGAAAAGATTTCAATCAATAGACAAAGTGCAGCAAAGCAAACAAGAATTTATTGGCTGCAGCCAAACCCCACTTAAGACAGTGAAACAGGAAGGGCATAGAAGAAGCAACAGGAGAGCCTAGGCTGGGCTGCTTTGGCTCACTGGGAAGTCAGAGAAACAGGGCCTTGGAGACAGGATCAGGGGGTTAGCTCAGGGGGAACTGCTGCTGCCCATTGCTCCCCTGGTTGCAAGTCTTGTGCGGAACCTGAGAGGGAAGAAGGGAGGAAGGGAATGGAGAGGGTGTACTTCCGGGCAAGAGCTCCAGCTGGGTCCTGTTGTTGAGGGTATTTATCTCTCTCGCAGGTGGGAATCTTAGGGGAGGTCTCAGGGGAGGGTCTCAATAGAATATTCATCAGTTTTCCAGGTGTGCTCCTTCAGAGCCCTGGTCTCTGCTGATTGGTCAGCACTAGAGTAAGAGGTCATTAGTCAATGCAGTCCTAAGGCAACCACAGCATCATTTGTCTGGTTTTGCTGCTTTTCTGGGCCTAGAGCTGAAATACAACTGAGGCCTAGCTGTTGTCTTTAGGGAGGGAAACATCAGAGGGTCTAAAGCACATGATCAGCAATATACTAGAGGAGGAAAGCTTACCCTGGGGGCACCCTGGACTTTCCACCCTGTTGAGCTTCTGTACCTGGCCCATCCTCCTTGCTCTGCTCATGTCTGTCTAAAGGCCTATAACAATTCCCTGAAGCATTATGATAATCAAGGTTTCCTTTTTATTTAAAAACTAGAGGCCCAGTGCATGGATTTGTGCACTGGTGGGGTCCCTCAGCCTGGCTTGCAGGGATTGGGCCAAAACCGGCTCTCTGACATCCCCTGAAGGGTCTCGGGTTGCGAGAGGGTACAGGCCAGGTTGACGGACCCCACTGGTGCACGATCGGGGCTAGGGAGGGAATGTGGGAGGGCTCCAGGGTGTGTCCGGCCTGTCTCGCCCAGTCCCAATCGGCCAGACCCCAGCAGCAAGCTAACCTACTGGTCAGAGCATATGCCCCCTGGTGGTCAGTATACATCATAGCGACTGGTCAAACAGTTGAAAGGTCAGACACTTAGCATACTCAGCTTTTATTATATAGGATGGAACTTCTGTATCACAATGGGGGAAAAACAGCCATATTACAATTTAAACATTTGGTTCTGTTTATTTTTCTTGGAGTGAGCATTTCTATCCATCATTAGCTCAAAACAACTAACATACATGGAACTAAAAATCACGTACAGAAACAACAAAAGAATAACAACAATAACAGTTTCAACAATGGAAGTGGCACTTGGTCATTGTTATGGATACCAGTGCTGGGGTATCAAGTTGACAAAAGAGAGCAGGAAAGAGGCTTTGGCCCAAGATGACCCATAATAATGAAAACTAAACATGGGACTTAGCCCTGGTAAAGATCTGCAAAGTGCTCCTGAGGTGAAATGCATCATTACTTGGGCTTCCAAAACATCCTGTAAGTTACGCCTGGCTTTTATCTTTTGAATCATCTGCAAGAATGTTTTCAGCCTCTCAGCAAATCAACCTGCTAATACTTAATGAGCAGTAAGGATATCATAAACAGTCATCACAAACCTGGGACAAGAAACTGTATTTCTCTGCTTTCATTCCCTCCTACTGTCCCTGCTTCCTTATCTTTTCCCCACCTAAACAGAGTCATTAAAAAAAAATCAAAAGTACCTATATTTCCAGTCTATGTCCGAGACCATTCTTATGATATTTTTTGACTAATTCTGATATAATATATTGTATTTGGCACTGAAATCAACTGTTGACTAGTCTACATAATGCTATCCTATACAAATATTAGCATGGGGAGCAATATAGCAGAACAATCAACAGATTACAGATCATCTGCTAAAGAGATGTCAGAATGCGTAGGCGATGGACAATGGGTGGTCATGGGCATCACACGGGGCAGCATATGTGAAAGGACTCTAAATGACAGAGCACTTTGGACATTAAGGTCATTATTACTGTTGTCATTATGGTATAACAACTGTTCCATTCTGGGGAAAACAAACCCCAAGAAGGCAAAAGTTCTGGCCAGATTTAATTCAAGGAATCATTTCCTCTCCATGTCTAGCAGTTGGCACTTGGCAATAATAATGCAACCTATGGAGAGACACACCTTGGATCTATAAAATAGAAATTTGAGTATACAAATATATATTATGAAGTATGGTAGGGTACAAATTGATGTAAAAATATGCTTTGCTTTCCCTGCTTCATGAATTTTAAAAGCATATATTTTTGTGTTTTTGAATGTTGAAGCAAAGTTAGTAAACCCTTTTGGTTTTTGTAAAGACATGTTTTCACAGTATATGTTATTACAGTGCTGAAATCTTACATGTTAAATAGCCATCTGAAATATTTTGGACTTCACCAAAAATAACTAAACATTAATATAGATATTGTTTGGGGTAGTAAGAATGGAGTGGTAAGAATGGAAATTCATCCAGATGTGCTACTTGGCCCATTTTGAATTAAGTGTTTGAGACAGTCAAGTAGTCCTATGGGTAAGAGGTGCTGTAGGACGATGGTTAATCAGGAAAAGATTTCTTTCCTGCCCTCAGCCTAACTAGTAACTGTGGGAAAATACTTGTACCAAGAGTACAAAATACTTGTACCAGTGTTTGACAATCAAACATTCTTTAAGATGGTGCAGCTGCTCAGGTTCAAGAGAACACAGAGTCAATAACCTTGCCTCATGAGGACAAATCCCACAGCTTTTGGAAGCTACTCACTGTTCAAGAATTCTGGGAAACTATTTGAAGGAAAATCTTTTCATTTCTTAGGTCACTGCTATCATGTTACTGGCCTTCATTGCAATTCCAGTTAAATTATAAAGTGCAATAGGTAATGTTGAACCTTAAGAAATAATGTAATGAGCACAACCACCCTGCACGGAATCCCAAGTTCAAGTTACTGGCAGAGTCATCATCCATATCTGAGAATGTATAGTCTTGATCATCATTGTTGTTGTCATCAATAGCATCATCACAGCGTCTTTAGCATCACAGTTGCACAACATCATCATGTCAAGTGGTGTGGCAAGATAAGAGAAACCAATATCAAGACACTGTCCAGTTCGGATGTGTAAATATTATCCTGTGTTTCTTGGCCCATTTAGCAAACACTTTCTTTTCAGTGATAAACCTATGGCCTCCGTATGGGGCATGTTCATGAAGAAAATATTCATCACACTCATCTCTTCCTTGTTCATAGTAATGGTAGGGGACTTTTCTATACCCTTCTGTCCTAGAAAATAAAAAAAAAGGAGAGAAAGATTGAGATGAAGAATAAAGCATTCATTTACAAGAATACATTATATGCCCAGGAACTGCATTTACTTGCAAACCTATTCATGATTCTAGTCCATGAACTCAGTTAAAACTATTATGTATAAAAGCTTTTAGGAAGATGTACTAGGTCCTTAGTGCTTTAATAAATCAAATAAAATTTATATATCACACCAATTACATTCAAACATATAGCTATCCTTTGAAGGAGGAAATGGTGCATAATGGAAGCGAGCTTTGCATAGTTCAATGCTCTTATAGAGCTTGAAGGAGCTTTGTGATTTTTCAGAGTAAGATAGTTGGTTCATCAGTGCTCCAATATGCTTTTAGTTAGGGTAGAAATATTTGATCACAAAGATTGCGGCTTAATTATCATTTTGAAAATATGATTAAAACACTCTCTGAATTATATTGTGCCAATTATTGGTAGGGAAATACATTTCATTACCTTGATGAAGCATGGGAGGTTTGTTTTATTATCTAATTAGAAACTATCCCACCAGCGGGGATATACGTGGATAAAGACACCCATCTTAAATAAGGATCTGGCAGATTATTCACTTATTTCCAGACATTCTTGCTAAGCTGTCAGCTTCTCGGAGGCTCCGGGATATTTTGTCCTTCATGATCAAATATAGCCATTGAGTAGATAGCCATCTCTCACGTCATTAGCCCACCAGAAAGGACACACTTGCTTTGCAAATTAAATAACCACTAACGTTGTTCTGTACTTCTAAGCCACAAGTCCCCGATATGCCACTGATTAAGGGGAAAATGTTTCTTCCGACATTTGACATTAGGCGATGGTAAATATTTTTCTTTTTATCACTCCTAAAAGTCATAGCTCGATGCACTGACAATGAAATGTCATGTCAGCAAAGAACACCGGGAAATAATTGTTGCTTTATCTGTTTGCCAGATTTATGGTATTAAAATGAATTGTGATATTTTGACAAGATATCAGAATTGGAGATGCATAAAAATAATTTCCTGTGATCTTACTTGCAGTAGGTGTCATTTATCATCCCGTAGACGTGAATGCCGTAACAGGCATCCATAGCCAGAATGAAGGTAAACCACCCAGTGCTGAGATAAGAGCCAGACTGGACTCTGTGGGGGGGACAAAAACAACAAACGAAACAAAACAACACAGAAAACATACACAGAGCAACAATAAGTGTGATGAGGAACAAGCCACTTTCTGTCAAAAACACAGCACTTGTTATCAGGAAAAGGCATCAAGAAACTTGACAATCTGTCAAAGAGTCACACTTATTTTGAATTATCTCTGAATAATTTATGGGCGTGCTCCCACTCTGACTACCTTGAGCCTAGGAGCTATGTTGCATGGTAGAGAAGCCATATGGCAAATATTTGAAGTCAAATAATCCTGCTCCCTTCGGGCGAAAAATAATTTGTTTGATTTTCTGTATGACACAAATGAGTGCTGTATATCAGAAGACAGGTTTTCTGCAAGTTGCTTGGAGCCCTGATGAGAACTGAGTGATAACAGTGCTATCTGCTATCCTGGACATATCGCCTTCTCTCAGGCTTGTTGGGTTCCTAAGTGTAAATTGGATGCAGTGTGAGTGAATGACTTGGTCTATGAAAGTATCTGAAAAGTTTTCCTTCACTGCTTTGCAGGCATCATGAGACCAGACTTTTCCTTTGTAAGACCTGTCTTAATCACCTCTTAGACACATTTTTATTGAACACCTACTATGTGCCCATCACTATTGTAGATGCTGAGGATATAGCAGCTATCAAAACAACCAAAGCTTCTGTCTTCATGGAGACCAGAGGATTGGATTTGGAGATGGCTATGATATAAACTATAAAGATTGGCCATGGAAGGCTCTTTTGATAATGGTAACAAAGATTTGAAAGGAGGGAGGGGGTTGGTTAGGGAAATAGGAAGACGCCATGTGGACTATATTGGGAAAGACAAGCTCATGTGTGTTGCTTTAGACCACCTCTTGGTCACATAAGAATGGGCTGTGGGCCTGGAACACTTTCTCACCTAAAGATAAGGAATTCTCACAGCCTTTGCTGGACTTGCCACCTTGTGTGGGACTATCTTACCCTGTTTCAGAGTTAATTTTTTTTTTTCAATTATAGCTGACATTCAATATTTGTTTTAGGTGCACAGCAAGCACGTCAAACTCAAAGGCTAACATGGGCCAAATAAAGTTTTAAGTTTATGTGAGCTGCAAAAAAACCCAAAAGCTTCAATTTTCATAGAAACTTAGGCTTATTTTGATAGAGACATGCTGAATACAAAAGGCTGAAATAAATGAGTAATCGTTAACATAAAATAAAAGAACATTTTAATAAAAATTAATATTTTTTCTTGAACATTAACTTACCAGACACTGAATAACTGCACAAATTAATAAACAAAATGCAAATAAACCTATTTTCCTTGTTCTCCGAAAGCGAAATATTTCCTGTTGCGCATGCCAAATAAGACAGTACAAGACTAATGACATGGCAATTGGCTGCTAAAATATCCGCTGCTAGTATTAGTGGAGAGAAATGCTACGCCTGCGCGTAAGGCACGTAAGGGAAATGAATGCAGTTATAGTAATCAGTCATTAGTGAACGTTGTACTTCATTATTAATAACTAGAGGACTGGTGCACGATCGGGCCAGGGAGGGATGCAGGAGGTTGACCAGACAGGGAGGGACTGCAGGATGGATCAGGGCATGTCCGGCCTGTATTGCTCAGACCTGATTGGCCAAACCCCAGCAGCTAGCTAACCTACTGATTGGAGCTTCTGCCCCTGGTGGTCAGTGCACATCATAGCAACTGGTCAACCAGTCAACTGTCTACCCCCAGTGGTCATAGTGAGCAGTTGAGCAGCCTTAGCATATCATTAGCATATTACGCTTTGATTGGTTGAACGGATGGCCAGACAACCAGACACTTAGCATATTAGGCTTTTATTATATAGGACTAGGGGCCCAGTGCACGAATTCGTGCACCTTGAAAGGAACTGTGGGCCACGAGGCTGCGATGGGCACAGAGGCAGGTCTCGGCCCATCATCCGTGTCCCCGCCTGGCCTGTCCCACCATGGCCCCCAGTCCCCTCTCTGCCAGCAGCCCCGCTCCCGTCGCCACTGCTCCCACGCGCTGATGGCACCGGCCCTGCTCACACCCACTGATGGCGTGGAGCAATTGGGGTCAGAGCCAGCAGCAGGTGTGAGTGGGGCTGGCACCGTCAGCAGGTGTGAGCGGTGGTTGCTGCCTGAATTGCCCCTCAGGAGCAAGGGTAGGTGGAGAAGCCCTCAGGGGCGATTGGGACCAGCAGCCGCTGGTCGTACCTGCTGATGGTGCCGAGTGATCAGATCTGGTGCTAGGCGCTGGCTGCGGGTGTGAGCAGGGCTGGTGACAGCAGTGGGTGCAAGCAGCGGCTGCCGGCCCTGATCGTCCCTCAGGAGCAGGGGGAGGTGGAGAAGCCCTGAGGCATGATCAGGGCCAGCAGCTGCTGCTCTCACCCGCTAATGGTGCTGAGTGATCAGAGCTGGTGCCAGGCGCCAGCAGTGGGTGCGAGTGGGGCCAGTGCCGGCAGCAGGTGCAAGTGCTGGGCGGGACCACAGTGTGTGGGAGGAAAGAATTTTCAGTAACCACCAGAGGCTTGCCCCGATGACAGTGACTGGCACCCCACCTTGGTTTGGCGGCCCCGCTCACCTGCTCCACCATCCCGCTGTGGCCAATACCCACCATGTTCCACGTGCACCCCCTGGTGGTCAGCGCACGTCATAGCTACCAGTTGATTGGTTGTTCCACTGTTCAGTCTACTTGCATATTAGGGTTTTATATATATAGATTATGTATAACAGGATATTGTAAAAGTTAAGTTACAAAAATGTTATTAAAACCTTTCTTACATACCATTATATTGGCTGGGCTGCAAAAATATTTGTTGTGGGCTGCATGTGGCCCATGGTGTACAGCATAGTGATTAGGCATTTATATAACTTATAAGGTTATCTTCCCCCTCCCCTGCCCAATAAGTCTAATACCCACCTGGCACCACACATAGCTATTACAATACCATGGACTATATTCCCTACCCTGTGCTTTACATCATCATGACTATTTTGTAACTGCCAATTTGTACTTGTTAATGCCTTCACCTTTTTCACCCAGCCCCCCAAACCCTCTCTTGTCTGGCAATCATCAGTTTGTTCTCTGTACCTATAAGTTTGGCATGTTCATTTATTTTGTTTTGTAGATTCCACATGAGTGAAATATATGATATCTGCCTTTCTCTCTTTGATTAATTTCACTTAGCTTGATGGGCACATCTTTGTTCTTTTTAAGTGTGCATCATGTGTCACCTGGCTGACCTCACTGCTAAGTCTGTTCCCGGAAAAGAGGGGATCAGTTCTTCATTCTGTGGCACAAAAGGGTTGCATGCAGGCCAATGGCCCTGCATTAGCCGCTGGGAGAGACCGACTGGCCCTGCGGGTCCATGCCCACCGCTAATAGTTATCTTGTTCTGTTTCTTCCCTATGTGAGTGCAGTGCTGTTCCATCTAGTGTTTGTGCTGTGTTTGCCTCCGCAACTCGGATACCAACAGGCAGTGGGCAGAAGGGCTTGGATTTCTACTCTTGGTGACAGATGCCGCTTGCTCAACAGACACTATGAGAGAAAAGTATTTCAGGAAAAGGAAATGCTAAGGGCAAAATCACAAACATGTAAGTGCTTGGTATGTTTAAGGAAGAGATGGCAAGAGTAATAACTGAAGGGTGAGAAGTAGTGTTGATTAAGTGTGGGGGGGGGTGGTCTGCCCAGTTCCAAATAGTTCAAGTGAATGTTTGATGACAGGTGGGATCTCCATACTTGTCTTTAGCCATGGTAACCCCTTCCACCCAAAACAGACAATGAACAATCTCCCTAAGTCTCTTCCCATAGGGGCATCTGGCTCACCCCAGGTTGTTTGGCAACTGTGTAGCACATCTTCTAAAAAAGACGAAATGTCCTACATCTAGACCTCTTTGCCTATGGAAGCACAGCCAGCTCTCCTCCTCTTTAGAACCCCTCTCTGGGTATAGCACTCCAGCCAGTAGATGCTCCCTACTGAAGTCCAATATTGCTGATGCATTTCTCCAGTACCAAGCCTTCAGCATGCTGTAATTAGGACCCTGAATCCTTTGATATATATTTACTTTTAATCAGGCACTGCTTAGTATCAAATTATTTACAGCATACAATAATTTCAGGAGCAACATAAACTCAGAGTGGGGGTTGATAATTGTAACTTTTAGCCTTTATTTTTCATTGACTTTGGGTCATTTGCAAGGAAAGATAAACCCAGCCCATATACATATCCTATATAATAAAAGCCTAATATGCAAATCAACTGAACAGCAGGACAACAGGTGGAATGACAAGTCATTATGATGCGCACTGACCACCAGGGGGCAGATGCTCAATGCAGTAGCTGCCCCCAGCCCACAGGCCCCAGACCAGCCAAGGTGGGTGCTAGAGGGGCCCCTCGATCACCCCACTGGTCGCCCCACAGGTCGGTCCTGATTGCTGGCCAGCCTAGGAACCCTACCCATGCACGAATTTCATGCATTGGACCTCTAGTGTGTATATATATATACCCATTCCCTCTGCTGACTTGTCACTGAATTTGAAATGCCATGGTGTAAGTACTTTCCTTTGTAGCTCCTGGCATGTCTTCTACATAGAAAGTATTCCAGAAACAGGCTTACAATGAATTATGTGCCCTTTCCTTTGTCACAGGAATAGTGGCAGCAGCATGGGTTAGGAATGGGTGCCAAGTGGGAGGCAAGATGTACCACAGGGAGGGAAGTACACATAGGGCAACTTTGCTTGTGCAGCGGGACCTGCAGTCAATCCTGCGCTCTGGAGTCTTAGGAGGGGCGGCAATGATGGGAACTGCTTAAAGCTCCATCTCTTAAAACGTCCTTATTTGAAAAACGAAGAGAGATCAGAAGAGGCAAGAGTCTTGCAAAAAGCTCTCAAATTGAATCTAGAAATTATGTTTATGTACTGCCTTTTTCTGGTTATTATTCCCACTGAATTGTATGCCCCCTTTTCCTCTCCTTGCCTTATATGACTTTCTACCTTTCCA